CCTGCGCGCCCAGCGCCGCGGCCAGCGCTGCCTGCTGCTGCTGCAGGTGCGCGAGCGCCTGCTGCAGCAGCAGCGGGTGCTGCTGCGCCAACGCGGCCGCCGACAGCGGCGGCGGCGCCTCCTGCTTGAAGGCGGCCGCCGCCATCGCCGCGGCCGCCGCATCGCCGGGGCCCCCAGGTTCCGCCTTCGGCAGGACGAGCGGCGTGACCCTTAGAACGTCGCTACCGCCGGCCACAGGGCCGCCCGGTGCGGCGGCCGGCGTGCCTGTAAGCTGCTGCGCAAGCTGCTGGTTCAGCCTCAGAAGAAGCGCGCTGTCCATGGGCGTCCCACTCGGCGTCGCTGTGGGCGTGCCCGCGCCGCCAAACCCCGCCAGGGGCAGCGGCATGAGCATGCCCGGGAAGCAGCCTGCACATCAGAGCGGGAGGCCGAGGTGTGCAGTGACCAAGTGGATGCTGGTTGCAGAAGCGCTACATGGCGGGGCTAGCACTTGATGGCTGCGGCTCGCACGCAGGCAGCGCTTTGGGCCAACCGCCACCCGACAATGCCTCGGACGAGCCCAACTGCCCACCCGAAAAGGCCGCGAGCGGGATGGGCGCGCTGCCTGGCAGGGAGTCCGTAGTAATGTCCATCTGCAGGGGCGTGATCCCCAGCGCAGGGGAGTGGGCTCCCGCGGGCAGGTCCATCTGAGCCCCGCTGCAAGGATGCAGCTGCACTGCAGCAGCCACCCAGTGCCCTGATGACGCCGCACTGTTCGATGGGCGCAGGCGTGGTTTCCTGAGTTTGATGAGCGTGGGTGAGTGATGCGCACGAGAGTGGGGTGCCGCATGAGCCTGGTCATGGGTGCCATCATTGGCCGCCGCTGTCGGGCTTTTCACTTCCTGGGATCAGGCCGCCCCACGTTCCGAGGTACCAACGCTGGCCCACTGGACTCATTGTCAGCGCGGATGTGAGCTTACGGACCCCAGGATGGGCCCCAAACAATACAACATCCGATTGACGCGGGCCAGGCGTGCGCGGGAGGTGGTCGGAGGACACGAAACGGGCTGCAGGAGCGACTCGCCCATGCAGCGGCATCGAATATAGGGCCTATCTATCAAAGTGCTTATCGAAGCCTACGTGGGCCCGCATCACCCCCCGGCCGCTGCATCTCGATACGCTCTGAAGCTGCTGCTGCACTGATCGACAGCGGCTGTGAGACTCACGTATATGGATAAAATCCTCGATCTCTGTGTCCACCTCGCCCCAAGGCTCCTTGTACCCGGGACTAGTTTGGAGGAGGTGTGGCGCGATGACGCTCTCGGCGTGGCTGCGTGCGTTTCTAACGACACGTAAAAATCAATTGATTCAATGAGTCTGGAAAATCAATCACGCCGTGGTCTCAAGATCAAGGGCAGGAGGAACCGGCGGCAATGGGGCATTGGTGCGCACGTGGGCGGCATCTGTATGAGCGTGCGGCTGCATTGGATTACAGAGAGATTTACTAACCTACACACGACCACAACCCGCGAGCGCCGCTGCACGGCATCGCCTGGTCCATCCGGCCGTGTGGCGGCGGCTTGGGCTGGGTCAACACTGTCATGACAACAAGGTGCCAGACGGGCAGATTGCACCACGGACGCGGTATAGTTACAACCCTGTCTGTGAACTTAAATATCTGAAGCATGCTACGAATCACGCAGCGCCGCAACGGTAGGTCGCCCAACCGATCTGCGCAGCCATGGCAGCTGCTTCAACATGCTGGGTGGCGATCACACGCTCCGTCATCACCATGGACGCTCGCTGATGATTTCTTCCTATAGCAAGTCTGGCATAACATCATCGGTGCCTGTAGAGCACCTTGGGGAAAAGGGGGCTGTTGCTGGATCTCCTTGAGGCGCATGAGACAAGCACAGCCCAGGTACCATGGCGGCCGCCCTCTCCAATTCGCTGTGTTTGATCAGGGAAAACGGGGGGTCGCGGCGGTGCTTCCGCGCTCTCTGACCTTCGGGCAATCTCAAACACTTTACCAACTTGAAGCCGTTGATTGAATCCATTGGCAAATGTTTCTGCCAGGGTGTGCATGCGGGCAAGGACGAGGTGCCGCAAGAAGTCTAAAGGTGGTGTGAAAGCGACGCGAGACGGCCGCTGCCGCAAAGCAGCACGGCGGCACTGCTCTGCACTCCTGAAATGAGGCAGCCAGACTGGCAGCAACAGCTGGACACACTCCGCATGGCATCGCGCAACCGACCGCATGCCATCGCGGGGCCCTGACCGCGCCTGTGCGTTGCGTGCTGGCATGCTGCTGTTTTTGGACGCTGGGCAGATGGAATGGCATCCACGCGGAGTGAGGGGGTTTTCTGAGGGGTGAACTAATAAAGGAGAACAACATATAAGGCGGCTCGTGCTGATCGACCCATGTGCGCTGGTGTGCGCTTTCACGCAGTGCAGACGCTTTGGCCACTTGCAAAGGGCGCTGGTGGGGCTGCGAAGCAGAGCTGCAGCGTTCAACACCCCATCAAGTGGGAGGACATCCGATCTGCCCATAAGCGCCCTGGGTATGGGGAATGCTGCATCGCGAGCGGCGCCGACGCAGCGCCCGCATGCAAGGCGGTGCGCGCGATCCCGGCGCACAGGGCCCGCCAGCAAAAGCAGGGGCCGGACAAACTGCAGCTGGTCAATGGTGTCATTTTTGCCACGGGTGTTTGCCGCGCGAGGCGTGAAGGAAACGCAAAGGCACACGCTGCGAACCCCCCGCGCCTGCCAGGCTGGACGTGGCTCGCAGTGCCGCCCTCGGCAACAATTGGGGGGGGGGGGGGAAGGGGGGGGAGGGGCTTGTTGCTCGCCGCCAGCC